TGTAATTGCATATAAAACACCGTTTCAAATCCTAATAAAAGCTTTCAGGCCAAAGAGGTCTCCTTAACCAAAAAAAAAAAAAAACTAATATATGAATGTTTTTTACTAATATTAAAATGATAAATAAATTTTTTTAAAATCTTCAGCCTATCACTTTTATATCACCTAGGCAATTATTTGAAGATATTATATATCAATCTTTTTTATTAAACTGATATATAACATATTTTCTTAAAACATCTATTTAATCAATTTATATTTAACAGCCTATCACCCTCATATTACTTAGGTGATTATTTGAAGATATTATATATCAATCTTTTTTATTAAACCAATATGTAACATATTTTCTTAAAACATCTGCCTATTAGCTTTTTTATCTCTATTTAATCGATTTATATTCAACAGCCTATCGCCCTTATATCATTTAGACCGATTATTAGAAGATATTATATATTAACCTTTTATTCTCCAATATCATCTAAGCTGATTATTTGAAAATGTTATATATTAACTAAACCGATATGTAACATAATTCCTTAAATAATCAGCCTATCGAATTTTTTATCCCTATGTAATTGGGTTGTAACCATCAGTCTATCACCTTCATATCATCTAGGCTGATTATTAGAAGATATTATATATTAACCTTTTATTTTTCAATATCATCTAAGCTGATTATTTGAATATGTTATATATCAACTAAGCCAATATATAATATAATTCCTTAAATAATCAGTCTATTAGATTTTTTATCTCTATGTAATTAGGTTGTAATCATCAGTCTATCACCCTCATATCATCTAAGCCAATTATTTAAAAATATACAAATAATATTGGGATAATATTTTTGATTTCGACCAGTAGATAATATATCCGGGGCCTGACAAAACAATAGCATATAAGGCAGCTATTGCATTAAGACAAGCAAGAGCGCAAAATAATACATTAGCTATGTTCATTGTTTCTTCAAGTTTTAGTGCTAGAATTTCAGATATATTAGGCCTAACATCAGTATCATGTAATATTAAACGAACAAAACAAACAAATACATCCTTAGATACCTACTTTGTTATTCGTCAGTTATCACCTACTAAGCAGAATGAATTTCATTATCGACTTCTTTGTATAATAGTCAAAAATAGTCTCTCATTTTGGTTTACTGAAACCAGAACTTTTCATGAGTTTGTTGCTTTCTTTAATACCACTGTTAAAATTTCAAGTCGACAAATGTTGAGCAAAAGAATTCTTAAAGAATATGCTAAAAAATTAGAAACTTCTCAAGTTTCTGCTCTTTTAAAAACACAAGAACCAGTTACTATTATGTTTGACAGATGGAAGAATGTATGTTGCCAAGAAATTTTAGGTGCTGTTATTTTTTCAGCAACAAACAAATTATATATATGGGTGCTAAAGGTGTAAGTGGCACTAGTCAAAAAACAGATAATATATTAAACACAATTTGCGCTTTTTTAGAATATGCAAAAACACAAACTCTAAATGTAGTTGTAATGGTAACTAATAGTGCATTGTCTTATGCCCTCAGCATGGTATAATATTATTTTAAAATCAGAGTTCGAGGTATGGTAAAAAAATTAGTCATGCCTCCAAGGACATGCTTTGAGTTAAGGCATGCTTATAGGCATGCCTTTTTATATAAACTTAACCAAAAGATTCTTTTTCGTCTCTGGTATTTACACTTCTCTGATTACTTCTGACTATGCTAGTCAATCAGATATAATACATATATCACATAATCAAGACATGTCCATGCCTCTGTGCCTCGAACCCTATCCAAAATATATATATTTTTAATTAAAATAGTTTTTAATTAAGCTTTTTTTTTTTTATCTTTAATTAAATTTTAATTAAATAACAGTTTTTTATTTAATATTAATTAGGTGTAAAATACGATTAAAAAGACCAGATCTTGTATTTTTGCTGTGCTTTGTGCATCAGGCCAATCTTTACATTGGTGATATTTTTAGATATTCATCAGAATACAAACATATAGCAGAGCAGGCAATTGAAATAACAGCGTATTTTACTAATCAAAGACATACAAAAGCAATATCATTACTTCATAATAAACAATAAGGAATTTATAAGACAATTTATAGCTTTGTTTGTCCTGTAATTACTTGATGGAATTCATATTACTATTGTTTCACTGCCTTTATTAGGAGTAAACAGACTTTGCAATCATATTCAATTTTTCATTTAAATTCAAATGAGCTATCAAATAAAGCACGATCTGCTATAAATAGCACAACATTTTAAAAGAATGTTGATAAGCTTGCTGATTGTTTGCTACCATTTGTTAGTATTTTAGATTATCTTCAACGTGATGCAAATCTTTTTGATATAATATATTCATTCACATATGTTGCACAACAGTATGAGGAAGAAACTAGTGGATTTGATTATACAATGTTATAGCAACTTGAAAAAATGTTGGGTTGACTGGGAACAGCTATTGCTTTTTTTGGCAGTTATATTTAATCCACACTTTTGAGTTCATGCTTTATTAGACCAAGCTTTTTTTAGTCTTGAATGAATAGCCAACTGGACTAAATATTATTATGAAAAGTGGTTTAATGAAAAACCAAAGCATGTTGCATTGGAATTAACAGAATATTATATGAAGTGAGATATTTTTACAAATGAACAGTTTAATAATACTCTTGAAGCAATTTCAGAAGAACATAATAATGTACAAGATAAGGTGGCAAATAACGTAGTTGGGCTTGCACTACTGCAATATTGGGAGTTCGCTGCACTGAATCTAAAAGAAATCGGCATAGTTGTACAAAGGCTATTCAGTATTAAAGTTAATTCAGCTTCATGTGAAAGGCTTTTTTCTTGCATGGGTAGTTTTATAGTTCTCAACGATGTCATCTTAAGGTAAGAAAAGGTTGAGTTATGATTCTAATGCTAAAAATTAGGTCTAAAAAAAAAATAGATTTAATTTTTAGCATCGGCTGTTTTTTAGCACTAGCCATTATGCTATAGCAATAGTAGTTATAAAGCTTTTATATAATTGTATTTTATTCTGCAGATAAAACCAGTTTTTCAAATAACACAGATCGTAGCAGAAATAGCATAAGAGAAACGTCAAGAAAAAATTGAGATAGTTCGAAATATAGCTATTAGGAATCAAATTATAAGTTTAGCTAATTATAATATACAAGTATCTTCTCATGAACAATCAAAATCTGGCACAATTAATCTCAGTGATATTGTAAATATTTCAATGCTTGCCAATAATAAAAATAATAGTGAAAACATGACCAAAGAGATTAATAATGAGAAAAATGATAATAGTGCACATAATAGTGATAATAACACAGACAAAGACCTGACTGATGGTGAATCAATCATTAAAGAATGGACTGAAATAGATAAAGATGAAGAGCTTGAAGAAAATAAGAAGCTTAAAGAAAATGAAGAGCTTGATGAAATAGACATGGGCAGTGTTGTACATAGGACATGTCCATACTATGTAAAATGTCCAATGTCCAAGATTGTCCAAAATCATCCAAGCCTATGTCCCATGTTTAACTAATCAATAAAGTAATCTAAAAAATATATAATTATATATTTTTTTAGGTGCTAGACTCATTGGTGAAAAAATTAAAATAGATTATCTTAATAAAATTTTGAGTAATTTTAATTTGAAAAAATGTTCAAAATTGTCCAAAATTGTCCCATGTACAACACTAGGCATGGGTACTTTGGGTACTGCTAACAGACTTAATTGTCATTCGGCTGATTATCAAAATTCAAAAATTGAACTACAATACCTTTTTTTGCATATTTTAACCCAACTATTGTTCATTCATATTATTGAACAAGAAGTTGAAAATGTCGAAGCAACCCAATATAAAAATGTCGAAGCAATACAATAGGTGGGTTGTATTTGAATATAGAATAAATAATTAAAATTTAAATTTTATAAATTTGTAATTTTTACTTATATTTAAATCAAAAATGTTTTGTCAAGCCAGAACTTACGCATGAATCTATTGGCCTGCAATCGATTCAAAATAATAAAGCTTAATAGGTATATATGAAAAAATTGTAAAGTTTAAATATAAATAAAAAAGCTTGTGATATATAGAAAAAAATTAAAAAATTAAAAAAAAATACAAAAAAAAAATAAAAAATGAAAAAAAAATTTTATAGAGATATGTAGTATATAAATATAGTTATTATAAATTTTTATTGGACATTGTGAAAAGTTTTGAATAAATAAATATTTGAATTTCAATAACTAGATTTCCAGATGGAATATTCATCACATAAGATTCTTATTTTAAGAATAAATATTAAAAATTTTCTTGTGAAAGTATCTGTCATTTAAAAATCACGCTTGTAATAATTAGTGCAGTTAGAAAATGACTAGGATATATGCATAAGTAGCTTTGTGATACATAACGCTGTTTAAATTGAATTCAAAGCTTTTCATGAATATGCACTAAGTAGTGTCATGGTCAAAACAAATATGCAGTATATTTGGTAGAAGGGATCAATCTGGATCTCTAAGATAATACTTAATAATAATAATAATAATAATAATAATAATAATAAAAACAATAAAAGTATGTATCTTCGAATTAAAGAAAGTCAGAATAAACTAGTTGTCATGTACATGTGATCCACATGATTCGGATTAATTATGCATCAGTTGGTAATACAGAATAGTTTATCGAAGTATGATAAGAATATGCATGAAATATTAAGCAATAAATATATAATCAATTTAAGAATTAATGATCATATGATCGAAGTATGATATAATAGTTTAGGTCAAATTAGACGAAAGTCGAGAAAGATCAATTGAATTAATTATGCATCAGTCGGTAATACAGAATAGTTTATCGAAGTATGATAAGAATATGCATGAAATATTAAGCAATAAATATGTAATCAATTTAAGAGTTAATGATCATATAATCGAAGTATAATGTAATAGTTTAGGTCAAATTAGACGAAAGCAAAGAAATAATAAAGGTTTAGGTTCTTTCCTTAATTAATAAAGAAAACAATACTTTCCTTATAATTAATAGTAGTCAACTTTTGAGCTAGTTTATTTAGTGGTACAAGTTACTAATTAACCCATGATAGTAGATTTATGAGTTAGTTCGAAATTTGGGTGAATTTAATTAACTCAAGTATATTTAGAAGCTGTTTTTAAATTTAGTAAAACTTCTTACAATATATAATTAAGATTCTGTAAATGAAGGCATGAGGCATATTTCTTACGAGATCAAAACCTATAACCCATTATTGAATATGATCGATTAGTAATATTGCATGATCAATTGATATATTAAGTATGTCATGGTAATAGCTATTTAAAGGTGTTCTCAAGCACTTCACTCAATGAATTAGAGGTAAATTTCAAACTAGCAAAATATGAACCACCTTTTTCTTCAAAAATTTACTATTGATAAAGGTCGCTCAAGCATTACTTTACATTTTTGCATTTTTTAAATATCAATTTCTAACCAGTCTAAAGCTGTTCTCAAGCATCTAAATCAATTAATTAGATAATAATCATTATAGAATTAAATGCTTGAGTATATTTTTTCTGTTCTTCATAATGTCCGCATACTATCTAAAAAAAATTTCTTTTTGATCAACTATTAAAGTTTAACTTTAGTTACGTCAGCTCCTCCTTTTAATGATTTTAACAATTTAAAACAGTAAGTTTTTATTATAGTTTGGTTGAACATTAAAAGTTTGTTGTATTTATTACGCTTATATTAATATATCAATTATTTATTTTAAAAGCTTCAAACATTAAATTTGTTGAGAATTAATTGTTTATTATGTTTAATATATAAAAAATATAAAAGTAATGCTTAAGCAATCTTTATCAATGGTAAACTTTTGGTGGCTTGTATATCGTTTATTTGTTCATTAAAATGGTAACTTACCTGGTTAATTTATTCAATTTCTAACTAATTAAAATTTTACTTCTGATTCATTGAGTGAGGTGCTTGAGGACACTCTAAATAGCCTCTTTATTTTAATGCTTACTTTAAAACAAATAATTAATATCTTGATACAAATATAATAGATAGGGCCTATCTTTTAACCTTTAATAAAACTATTATAAATACTGCTATTCTGTTTTTTGCTCTATATTTAATGACAATAAAGGTTATAATTTTTCAAAAAGAGTAAAAAGAAATTTGGCTTTGTATTTAAAAAGTTTGGCTTTGTTATAGTTTACTTATTACTAAAATTAAATAATAAGATATGTAGAGGTGTGGCGGCTTAGTGAAGTGGTCTAGTTGTCACCCTCTCTAAGTAGCAGGTTGAGAGTTTGAATCCTATGGATGACGATTTTCGAATTTAATTCTGTGTTACAGTTACTATTATCTGTATCAGGTTAAAAACCTGTAACTCAATGGTGTACCAGGAATTGGTCTAATTAGGAAGATCAGGACCTGGAAGATCTGGAAGCATTTGTACAACTTAACGGAAACACAAAGGAGTATATACGAGAAAACCCGGTTATAAACCCATGATAAGTTCACAGATCGTAGAATTCTAGAGGATGATTGGATAATGGAAACCTACTTGGGAAGTCCCGAATATGGTATTTATCTCTAAGGGATATTCATGGGGCCCTGGAAATGAAGAAATACAAACCAGTATACTGTGCTTCCATGAGGCACAATAGAATAGGCAGTGTAAACACAAGATAAAACCATATAAAGGCAAAAACACTTGTACCTAAAGTAGGACTAAATACTTGCTTATCAATTACAATATGCATTCTATAAAAACATACATATAAGATCTATATTAAGTGCACAAACACAAATACAAAATATAACAAAAATTACCAACTTGTAATACTCTTTAGTATATAAATAAAAACATTGTCTTCTGCTACATGTTTAAGATCTGAGAATAGAATGTTAAAAACAAAAACCTGGGTAACCAGGTTAGAGTGGTCTTCAAAGTATCAGTCACTCTCAAACCTGGAAGGGTTAGGATTAAACAACTCTCTAACATCCAACCTGATTATTGCTAACTCTTGTAGAATCATGCAAGCCGGGTATATGGTGACCGATACAAAAGACAATTCTCTGGTGGTATCATATTCAACATCTTTAACCTCCTATGATCTACTTACTACACTAAACACCAACAATAATCAACTTTCTGACACATTATACTCATTATACGAAGTAATATCGGAAGACTTAACAACTTTAACTTTACTTTATTAAAACTTCATAATTCTTTTATTCAAAATATAAAATTCTTTACTATTTACA